TTCGTTCACCTCTCAAGACCCTCGGACCATCGCCGGGTTAGAATCAGACTAAGCCAGTGGGAGATACGATGATGGCAGACAATTTAGAAAGGGTTTGTTCAAACTATCGAAGATTAGAGGAAGAAAGCTAGCTAGGGAAAAGCAAGTTCTTTCACTCTCTAAAGTGGTTGGTTACATTAATGGGGAACACCACCAAAGAGTGCATACACTACGCACAAAACCAGAGTCAAAGCACTACTACATATGCTGATCGTCGAGAATAAGGAGATCCAACCAACTAAGGTGATACTCCTCATCAGAGATTCTTTCCTAATTATTACAGGCACACCGTAGTCATTTGTTTTTTATTCCTCCCGACCATGTTAAGATATTCATTACTAAGACCAACTTGTCATAGGAAAATCCAACTGTAGCTGCAATTTGATGTCAGTGAAAGTTATCACAAAAGGGTTGCTTATAATCATTATAATCCCCACTCATAATGCATAGTGCATGCTCTTATATGGACCCTGGCCACATGAAAATGGTCATATTTGGCCCATTGTGCAGCCTACGAAATACTTCACTACATTGGGGTGGCAAACAGGTCGGGTCAGGTTAACTATGACCCGACCCGTATAAGTGTGACCAGACCCAATCCGACCCGACCCGTTGAATAAATAGGTCAATGCGATCCGACCCACAAATACATGTCCAGTCAATATTTGCACAACTCCTCAAAAATATTCAAGATGAATAGTTATGTACCCCGAAAACATGACAGAGAAATATTTAAGATGCAAATAATATTCTAGGTCAAGTACAAATTGTTATCAATTGCCAAAATAGAACATATACCAAAATGCAAGTCAATATTTGCACAACTCCTCAAAAATAAGATTCAATTTCAGGTTTATCAATTCTTCATCGAACCAGAAATAGCATAGCAAAAACTACTCTTCAGCAACAATAATGCCAAACTGACCTTGAAAGCAAATGCTATCACTCATGTCCAAGGAAACATATTAAAACAATCAAATAAAGAGCTTTGCTTACAAGTAAATCAAACCATACCAACTTTACATATTTGATTATTCAAGTAATCGAAGTTTATACTAAGCCAATGAGACTTCATAGTATAAGAGATTCATACTTGTGTTGGCATAGATTCTCCAACATCTAATTGCATGATATCCTCGGAAAGCTCATCTAATTTTGGTTGCATGACATCTATCATTAATAAAAAAAAAAAAAAAACAATAAGCAAATTCATAACATGTATTCTAATGCAAAAAAAACGAAAAAAAATATAACATTAGTATTTGTCTACCTTTGATACCATATAACCAATCACGCGTGCAAACTAAAGCCTCCACATTGCTAGGCTTAAGAGTGCTACGGTATTGGTTAAGGATTCTCACACCTACACTGAAAGTACTCTCTGAAGCAACCGTAGAAATAGGAACCTTCATTATGTCCCTTACCAATAGAGAGAGCTCGGGGTATCTATGCTCATTAATCTTCCAAAATAAAAGAATGTCGAGTTGAGCACCATGATCAAGTCTTGGTTCATCCAAATAAACTTTTAATTGGGTCTTTTGAGAACTAATAATTTCTTGACTTTCAAACGAGTCGAATTCCTGAATATAAAAAAACATGAGAGAATAAATATATGCTATATATATATGAGAAAACGGGAGGTGAGCTGGCAGCGTAGGAAATTTCCTGCGCTGCAAGTGTATGACATGTGAGCCCCCCTACTAGTCACATCGGTGTGGGGCTCACATGCCATACACTTGCAGCTGATGCGGCATAATTATGTACCAAAATTGCAAGTGCACAATTTATCAAGTTATAGTATAAAAAATATCGATCCCACGAGGAAGGTGATTTTAAGAGATTATTAGAAATGGTTCTTATATTTTGTGCATGAAAATTAGGAATAAAGAATAAGTGTGAGTGTGATGAGTGATTGTTGTGAATATTTGCAAAAGATAATAAATTGAATTTTAGAGGAGAGAAGGAAGAATTAAAGAATAAATGAAATCACAAGGCAAGAAAGATGAATGAATAAAATCAAGAAATAAAACCAAGAATGAAAAGAAAATTTAAGAAAGTTAAGTATATATATATATGTATATATATATATATATATATATATATATATATATGAACATCAGACTTCAAAAGAGTCTTATACAAATATTGCAATATTGCATACATCTATCATCATCAGAGCCAGGTAATACAATACTAAATTATAAGTAAAGTCATGACAGCCTACATTGTTTAAACACTCCCACAGACTTCTAAAGTATTTTACTTAAATGCTGGTGTCATTTGTCACGATCAATTCCTGAACTCATTTGTTTTGCTTAAATCCATATGCACATGTGCAGTGATATTCTAGGATCAAGGAGAAACTTTGAAAAATTAAGTATCTCTTCACTTTATCTTTACTGCAGCAAAACTTGTAATATTTATAATTGGTCTATGTTTTTTGCAGATGCTAGTTGAGGAAACATTAAAGAGAAATGCTGCTCTAAAGACAAGATTCTCAGAAGCAGTGGCTTCTTTTGATGAGCGGCACAGTTTCTCAAAGAATGCCGAGACCACGCCTGTATGAGCTTTCAGGTTGGGGAATGCCAGAATAGTGGAATTATATGTAAATGTAAATCAGCTCATGGTCTTTTGGGTTGTACTGGTGTTGTATGGAGTATGTCGTGAAAACCTTGGTTTCATATTTTGATGATGGTTTGTTTATTATTTTGTTTATCTCCAAATGTGCATAGGTCAGAAATTTGTGCAAGTGAGCCTAACTGCACAATTGTCTCTTGATGAATCTGGTGCCCAACCTTGACAACTTGTTCATGTGTTTTGAACAGCTAAGCACATTATCTCTGTATCTGGAGGGGTAAAAGTCTAACAGCTCTCAGGTTATCTATCAGTTACTAGAAAAAATGAATTCTGTCACTATTCTTTCATCTGGTTTGGTTTTAGTCTACAGCGTTCAGATTTCCTTATGTAACATAAGGATGTCATAATACCGAGTTTAATCAAATTTGAGAATCAAATATTGTTCATATAAGTCAACACGTTCTCTTAAATGAAATTCAACTGAAACAAAGAATCGTTCTACTCAATTCACATGGATCTCAACCTATCTGAAGCCTTGAACCTATTCAAGAATTGCTTGGTCATAACCCAGGTGTTAGCAGTTGTGAACAAGAGGAATAATCTTGTGTGCTAGTTCTAGGGACAAAGCAACAGTCTCTTTCAAATATTGAGCCAGGCCTAACTCCAGACACAAACCAAACACCAAAAGAATTTAAGTAGGATACGTAAGAATAATGCACTGTTTGGTTGCCTTCCTCGAGTCGGCTAACCTTATCTCTTCTGCTTTAAGAGGGGACCACTAACTCTCCAATCTAAAGAGCATGATGTACGTTATAATGTGGAAGTTGCAAGAAATTATACACATACAAGATATAAACACGTGCAAAAAAAAAAGAAAAACTAAGAGATATACTAATTACTTGAGAAACAAATTACCCTCAAAATACTAATGCAATCTTGATCAAATGTGTCATCATACACACGAGAAGTTCCCTCCTTGTTTGATTTCTCCAAGTTTCTTTACCACCATCCATATTGCTCGAGTACTCATTAAAGAGAGAGAAAAGGTTGTCTTTCACATTCTTAAGCTCCATAGAATTGTATCCATATAGCCCATAATAGCAAAACTCTACAAATTATATTTTGTATCGGGGATCCAAGCTGCAGGCAATAGCAAGTAGAACATTGTACTCACTCTAATATTTTTCAAATTTCTTGTACATTTTGGTTGCTATTAACTTAACATATTCATCATTATCTTTCATCCCACTCTTCAAAATACATTGCACAACAAATACTGGACAAATTTTTAAAACCAACCCTTTTAGCATTTTATTTGCAAAAAACGACCCCTTTTGAAAATAATTACAAAAACCGACCTGTTTTCAGCCCAACGCTGAAAACAGGTCGGTTTTTATAAAAAATTCTCCGAAACATCACGGGAGTTCAACTCCCGTGAAGTTTATGGAGAAATTAAACTTCACGGGAGTTCAACTCCCGTGAAGTTTAATTTCTCCATAAAACTCCACGGGAGTTGAACTCCCGTGGAGTTACAGTCAACAAAACAACGCATCACAGTCCGATAGCAGGTCCCAATCCTTCCACCTCCCCCCGACAATCCCATGGCCACTCTCCTCTCCCCATCAGCCATCCTCCCCTCCCCTCCCCCTCCTGCCCCCATCCGAAACCCCAACTCAAACCCCAGCAAGAAGGACACCGCCGAGTACACCTACCTCGTCCCCGACTCCTGGAAGGAGCGCCTGGTCTCCAAGGTGGAGAAAGGCACCAACGGCACCGACAGCGAGTTCTACAACCCCAGGAAGAAGTCCGAGAAGGAGTACCTCACTTTCCTCTTCGGCTTCCGAGCGCTGGCGCCCATGGACGCCGTGCTGAGCAACCTGGCGCTGTCCGACGTTGAGCTGCAGGATCTGATCGCGGGCGCGGAGGACGGGGTGAAGTCCAAGGAGGCCAAAGATGGGAACGGGCAGGTGTACTATGAGTACGAGATCGACGGGGTCGGAGCGCATAGCTTGATCAAGGTGACCTGATTAGGTTGTTTCTTGAACAAAACCTTCAATCATCAGAAGAGCAGCTCTGGGGCTGCATTTTGTGCTTAAATCTTCACGGAAGTTGAACTCCCGTGAAGATTTAAGCACAAATTAACCTTCACGGGAGTTCAACTCCCGTGAAGTTTAATTTCTCTATAAACTTCACGGGAGTTGAACTCCCGTGATGTTTCGGAGAATTTTTTACAAAAACCGACATGTTTTCAGCGCGGGCCTGAAAACAGGTCGGTTTTTGTAATTATTTTCAAAAAGGGTCGTTTTTTGCAAATAAAATGCTAAAAGGGTTGGTTTTGAAAATTTGTCCCAACAAATACTTGAAGAAAATAGAGATTAGCCGTTGGATAATTTGTACCAGAGAAAAGACAAGTGACGTTATAGAAAGTGGCTAATAACCTCTTAACCTTCTCAGCCTTATCCCATTCTTCTTGAGATGGACAAAGTCTTGAGTAATTTGAATCACTCAATTGCATGTGTATAAATGCACGACGATAGTATAAAGCACTCTCAAGCATTAGAAAAATAACATTCCATCTTGTTGGAACATCTTGCCTTAAACTCTTCATCACTTCCAAAGATTCATGAGAGACACATAACACATTCCCAAAATTTTTGTTTTCTAATTTGAGAGCCTTTTATATACTTGCCGCTTTCTCGAATTTTATCAATACAACCATGGACTTTTTTTAAACCATCTTGGACAATCAAGTTGAGAATATGAGTACAACATCTAATATGAAAAAATTCTCCCGTCCCAAGAAGTGCTTCTTTCAAATTAAGTTGTTTTTTCAATAAATTAACAAAAACATCATTTGTGGAGGCATTATCAAGAGTGAAAGAAAACAACTTCTTTCTAATTTTCCAATCAACTAACTTATAGATCTTCTCACAAATGACAATATCAGAATGAGGAGGTGACATATAAGAAAAGTTAAGAACCCGATTTTGTAATTTTCACTCATGATCAATGTACTGTGCCGTGAGATAAATATATCCGTCGGTAGCTATTGATGTCCACAAATCAGAAGTCAAGTTAATTCTAACCGGTCGATTCAAAAGATTCTTTTAGCCTATTTTTCTCTCTTCCATAGATTTCAAGAACGTCAGCTTTAACCGTACTTCTTGATATGTGTTTTAAATCCTCACAAAGATATGAGAAGATTTGTTAAGTATGGCAAATCGTGCATAATGATGGCCGAGACTAAGAGCTCCCTAAACTTATCTGGGTCAAAATTAAATCTCGAAGAACTCGTCATAGAATTTTTTGAGTTAGATTAATCATTTAGTTTAGCGTCTGTCGTTGATTTGAAAACGCATCTTTCTAAATTCCAAAAAGGAAACATGATCAGAGATTTACAGAGGTTTAAGTTTTGAAGTTGAACCTTTAAAATGGAAGATTGCAAATTATCCCAAACAGATTAATACTAGAGCACAATAAAAGACTGTAGTTTCTAATACCACCATTTATTTCCCTTTAGGGCCTGTTTGGTTATTTCCTAAAAAACCAAAAAATAGAAATGAAAACCAAGAAATCTCAAAAAGTACAATTTCACACATTTCCATCCCTAAAATTCACCCACAACATCTAATAAAATATTATTTTTATCCAACAACTCATCCACCATATCTAATAAAATATTATTTTCATCCAACAACTCATCTGTCACATCCACCACATCTAATAAAATATTATTTTTATCCACAACATCACTCAACTCATTTCATCTCATATTTAAAAATCACTCACATCATCCAATAAGATTGTGACAACTCATCTCATCTCATTAACATTTTATTTCTTTGTTTTCCTCCCAAAAAGCTAGGAAAACAATTTCTTTAAGTGTGAGTCACATCATCCAATAATATAATGACATCTCATCTCATCTCATCTATTTTCTTATTTTTAAGAAATAACCAAACAAAAGAAAACAACCTATTACAAGAAATAGGTTTCTTATAATTCATTTTCTTATTTTTTTTCCGCCAACCAAACAACATCAAAACAAGTTTTCTTAAAAAATCACTCAAATCATCCTATAATAAGGTGACAACTCATCTCATCTCATCTTCATTTTTTTGATTTTCTTCTTTTTTTTAGCCAACCAAACAATACCAAAACCTATTTTCTTAGAAATAAGTTTCATTTTCTTTGATTTCCCTCTTTTTTTTTAGGCAAACAAACAGCCCCTTACTAACAATCATCACTCGGAACAAGAAATAGGCAATCTGAAGTTCGTCCAGTATGATACTCGTGTTTGTCTCTAAATAAAAAAATTAAAAAAAGGGAGCCAAATCACGTTTCGTTTCTACTCACAAATTTATTAGATGCGAACTTTACTTGACAGTAATTTGATGCGATTAACTAGAAGATTTGCATCCTATCAAAAAGAGACTTCGCAATTGAGATGAAAAAGGACTTACGCGCTTCATCGTAGCACAGTTTTCAGCAAGGAACAGCGCCACGATCGCATCTTGCTCCCCCTTTTCCTTTTCCCTTTCTCAATGTGCATAGAGAATAACGTCATGATTTCATGGGCCTGCTGGACTTAAGTGCGGCCGAATTTTGGTTTGCACGTACTTGGGCCTCTAGAATGGGCCCCATGAACATTTGCATAAACCCGAAGAACTTACATGTTTGACAAGGGGAAGCTGTTACGCTTTTAACCTAAAAAATACTTGACTCAGCAGAGAGAAGCGGTATAGACCCGGCCCAACTAAGAGCTAAGCAACAGCGACCGTGTGATGGAAATCCAACCATCGGATTGCTACCCGCGTTATTCTCTATAAAAACACCTTGAGAGCCTCTAGGGTTTCTATTCCAGTGCGAGGCTCGAGATTAGGGTTTTTTCTTCTTTTTATTTTCGAGAGAATCACCATCCGGAGGTTAAAGCGGCGGGATCTCTCCCCGTCCACCTTGACAAAGATCCCCTTCGTCTTGGCCCTCGCGCCGCCGTCGTTAGGGTTGTTGTACATCTCAGGTACTTAAGAGAGAGAGAGAGAGAGAAATGGCCATCAAGGTGACCAAGGCCGAGAAGAAACTGGCGTACGACAAGAGGCTATGCAGCCTCTTGGATGAGTACAGCCAGGTTCTGATCGCCGCCGCCGACAACGTGGGGTCCAACCAGCTCCAGAACATCAGGAAGGGGCTCCGTGGGGATTCAGTGATCCTCATGGGGAAGAACACCCTCATCAGGCGTTGCATCAAGTCTCACGCTGAGAGCACCGGCAACAAGAACTACCTTAACCTCCTCCCCTTGCTCGTCGTACGTAACCCCCGCTTTCCTTTTCTTTTCTTTTTTTTATTTTTCCTTAACCTCCTCCCCTTGCTCGTCGTACGTAACCCCCGCTTTCCTTTTCTTTTCTTTTTTTTATTTTTTTAAAAAAAAAGAAGAATCTTTATATGTACACGCAACGGATCTCCATCTCTCTCTCTCTCTCTGTTTTCATTTTAATGACGCCGCCGCTGCGATTGTTTGCGATGCAGGGAAATGTGGGGTTGATCTTTACCAAGGGAGACCTCAAGGAAGTTAGCGAGGAGGTCGCCAAATACAAGGTTTCGCTCTTATCCCCTCTTCTAACTTCTGATGATGGAAACAACGCATTTGATTAAATTAACTGATGCTGTTTGGAAATGCTGATTTTTAATTTGATGCTAATCAATAAACAATCTGTTTGTATAATTTATCGATCTAAAGAAGACGTCTTACAATGTATTCGGTTGCATAAATTGCTTCGTTATTCATGTTGACATCTGTTAATTTGTTTATGGATTTTGGGCACATTGTTTACCTTACAAAGGTGATCTTGGTGTACCGTATAAATCGTTGCCTTTTAGAAATTTTGGGAATGCGCCTATAATTGCTCATGCACCCTCATTTGACAATTGAATGCCATGCTCAGTCGTTTAGTTTGTAAAGGGCACCTTAACATGTTCATCTGACATGAGAGTTTATTGTTATGCTTGTTAAACCATTATTGGATTGGAAGCATCTGTTCTGTACATATCCCCTCTTCAATCCTTGTCAAAGAACTAGTTAAGGAAAACATATATGGTGACCCATCTTTAACATGTTAAAACCTTGTTGAGCTGTTCAATTGGGCTATTTTTGCTTTTCCTAGTCACTCTTTTTCTTTAAATTAAATGCTTGACCTCTACAAGTTACTCGAATGTGGGAACTAGAGTGTTTGGCCTGATCACTTGTTTTTACTTGGCAACTTCTAAGTTGTAACTTAAAAAATATATATTGGGATGTCTTAATAGAAAAACAGGAAGGTTGCCATATTGTCCTTTCGCTTTTGCTGTCAGATGCTTGCGAGTGTTGATTGTCAAAAATAAGTTTTAAAATTACACATTGCAGCTACTTGTATGGATAACGCAGTTTCCAAAACCTTTATTGTCGATGGTATTAGTCACAGAAGCTATATGTTTCTTAAAGGCACACTGGTCCTGCCCTCAAATTCCTTTCATATAAAATTGTTTTTCCCACTTTGCACATGCTTCTGAGGTTTTTATTTTACGCTTAACCAGAAAGCCCAGTATCTGATGTGGACGCAATGAATATTGTAATTAAAATATGTCTCCCAGTTGACCTTATTTCTAAGTATTGCAGCTCTTATAAACGTCTACCGATGAATTTATGTTTTCTCTCCTTATCTGTTTAGAGTTACTGAAAGATGCATTGATCTGTATCGCTCAATGACAATTACTACATCTTTTTTCAGAATGCAATAACATTCTCTTTATTTGTAATGTTTTATTCCTCTTAGTGGAGATTAAAATTTTAATCTCCATTGAAACTGCCAGATCTTGTGGATCATCTAATTAGTCTCTGATACTGTACATGTGATGATCTAAACTTCTGTTGGATTGCTTGTTTCTCTTGTCGTAAATCAGGTTGGAGCACCTGCTCGTGTTGGACTTGTGGCTCCCATTGATGTCGTCGTCCCCCCTGGCAACACTGGGCTGGATCCCTCTCAGACCTCTTTCTTCCAGGTTGATCATTCAACTATTGGGTACATTGCAATGATTGCTTGTTGATGACAACAAACGACTCTTATCTCTTAACTCTAATTTCAGGTGCTAAACATCCCCACCAAGATCAACAAGGGTACTGTTGAAATCATTACCCCTGTTGAGCTGATCAAGAAAGGAGACAAAGTGGGTTCCTCTGAGGCTGCCCTCCTGGCCAAACTTGGGATAAGGCCCTTCTCATACGGGCTTGTGGTTCTCTCTGTCTATGACAATGGATCTGTCTTCAGCCCAGAGGTGCTCAACCTCACTGAGGATGACCTCGTTGACAAGTTTGCAACTGGTGTTTCTATGGTTGCTTCGTTGTCCTTGGCTCTCTCTTACCCAACTCTTGCAGCCGCGCCTCACATGTTCATCAATGCCTACAAGAACGTCCTTGCTGTTGCTGTTGATACTGAATACACCTTCCCACAGGCTGAGAGGGTGAAGGAGTTTTTGAAGGTAATGTTTGTTTCTGAATGCAAGGTTGTTAATGATGTTTTCATTGTGCATTTAGCAGCTCAAACTAACTAAGATCTTAAATTGTGGTTGTAGGATCCGAGCAAGTTTGTTGTTGCTGCTGCCCCTGTTGCATCTGCTGAGAATGCTGCTGCTCCTGCTGCCAAGGAAGAGGAGAAGAAGGACGAGCCTGCTGATGAGTCTGACGATGACTTGGGCTTTAGTTTGTTTGACTAAGTTCTTTGTCATCAAGGCATAAAAGTTTTCTTGTTTGGTTTAGGGTGCTTCAGATACTAAAAACTTATTTGGCTTTTTAGATTTATGCGTTACCTATGAGAAGCTAGGCTTCAATACTTGATTTTACATGTTTTTGTTAGAATTCTCGACTTGGTTTTGTTTAATTTTTGGCTAGTTAAGTGTGGTGTTGATTTTTTTTAATGTTTGTCCCTTTTCTGTGGTGTTGAAGCGGCAACTATACTATCTGCACTCTACTGTAAGTTTCATTGCAATCGTAGGTAGAGCCGATGTGTATGGTTTTCTGTTGTTCATACGGTTTTCTGTTGTTCATACGGCTTACATGCCTTATTTCATCTTGCTATAGTAAGACGTGTTGGAAAAGCGTCAAAAGTAAGTATTTGCGTCAAATAAATGTTAAATCGGTTCTATTATGTATGCTCTTGCCGTTTATAATCGTCTATTCATTGCATCTTATTAGAACATAGTTCTGTGAGAAATCACCTGATGGGTCTAATCTGTATCTGTTTTTTTGAAATGCCTGGGAGATGGCTGAATCAACAGTTGTAACCATGACAGCATCATAATATTGAACTTGTAAAGGTGATAAGTGGAAGATGGGACACCAATCTCTCTATTACGCTATTTATAGAAAGTCAGCCGTTCTGTTATTTTTACCATTTCCTTGAATTGTCCCTACCCCTCTTAATGTCATGCCATCGACTCAGTAGAACACGAGCCATTGGTTCTTGCTATCAGACTTTGGCCAACAATCAGGACCATCCGGAGGCATCAAAACTCCGTCAATCTACACAGAAGTTCAACATTTCATCTACTACAAAAACAGAGCACATCTAAAACTACAAGAGTTCGAAATAGTTACTTGAAAGACAATACCAGGCTGGCAAGGGCCATTGAAAATCGTCGAGATGATGGTAAAAACTCCATCTGAAGGAGCATGTAGCCTTCCAGGCATCACAAAAGGCTTTAGTATCTTCGGTATCTCCATCTCCAATTGCACCATAAGAGCTCACGTTGAAGATACAAAGGATCAGAGGTAGCATTATCGGCATCCTTGCTACCTGCTGATGGAGGCTCAGCAGGAGATGGGAGAGGAGATTGATATATACGCCTCCCGCTGTCCTTGTGAGAGTTCTTTGGTTTGTGAAAATGGTTCCTTGCATTGGAGCACCGAAGACCCGATAAGAGCAATGTTGTTGCTATCAAAACGGATAAAAACCCGTGAAGAATTTTCATCTTATTTTTCAAGAATTATGAGTAGAATCAAGCTAAGATAGCAATTGAGAGTGATTGAGAGTGATTGAGAGAGGAGCAGTTGAAAATAAGTGCACGAGGAGAAAAGGAGAAGTTTTTAGCTGGACGCATTGAAAGACTTTGGAGGGTTATTTATGCTTTTTGGAAGCCACCCATGAGGAGGTTGACATGTGTCAGCTCCTTGGTGATTGAAATATCATTGTCTTCTTGGTGATCTTTCCCTCTTCACATGAATCTTTAAACATAAATAAAATCTATAATGTTCTATTTTTCTTTTATGGTCCCCTGTTTTCAGTTTATCTTTACATTGTTATCATACCTGCAACACTAACGAACGTTTGGTGCAGTTTTCATCTTATCTACATATTATAGCTAATAAGGACAGTATAGTGCGTGAAAATGATCAGATATGTGCAGTGTTATTCTCGTGACATAATACACTGCACAGAGCAATCCAGATTGAAATCTCAATGCCCCTGCATTATAACATTGTATGAGTCGATGTTTCAGCCTTTAGGACGTTCGACCAGCGAAGGTATGTTCAGAGTATAAACTATATAACCCTCAATCTTCACTATAACTTCTTGAGTTGTTGTACAAGGGAAGAGCCATTTGACACATTGAATTATGATATAAAATAATAGAATAACTTTAGCATAGCAGATATCCAAAAAATTTCATTAGACAGACAATTCAATAAGCTTGTTAACCCATGGTATAATTTTGAGCTAGTGGCATCCAAAACAGGAACCTATGTTTTCTGATTCTCGTAGTGTCTTTCTTTATAAGAATTGGAATAAGGGACTGGGACGTATTATTATTAGTAAATGAATGAAGGGCATCAAATGTTCACATGATGCTTCTAAGATTTTGAGCAGAAGCTTCTAAGGCTTCACAACATCAACATGTTACCTGATTAACCATTTTGTTTCTGTCCTCCTCTGGTTTGGACCCCACTCAGCTACAGTTTGATATTATGAATGTGGAGATCAACTAATTCTAATGGCAATAAAATTGAGATGGCGTGATAGTTACGTATCACCTTTTGTAATTTAAGTCATGTATACTATATCTAGCATCAAATAACTGAATCAATGCTCCCTGCTCCCAGCTCTCTCTCTCTCTCTCTCTCTGGAATTAGTTTGAAATTAACTGTTATGCTGATATGAGAACAATTGTATCAACTAAATTAGCCAAAGACATCTGTAATTCTCCTTATTAATGAATATAGGAAAGTGTATTACTTAACATTTGTTTTTCAAAAATAAATAAACAAAAAATGTAGAGAACAGAAGGGATCAAGTGTTACATTGAGAAAGAGTCCATACCCACCTTTTTCCTCACGCACAAAAAACATCTTCACACATCCATGCAGTACGCAACATTTCACAAGTATTAGTAGCTAGGGTGTCGGCATCTTCGGTACACCTTTTTTTCCTCCTCAAAAATTCTTCCCATGATTTTAAGAATCCATTGATTCGTCCGACTCAGATGTGTCACCGTCTCGAAAGATATTCAGATTATTGGTGTTAGGCTCGATGCTGGTCAGAAAAAACTCAGATAGCGATTATGAGTTGTTACAATAGTATTGTATTTTATTAGATTTGTCGTGCATCAACTTGTGAAGGGGAAATTCCAATTTGATTTTCCAAAAGAAGCTTCATGTATATATATATATATATATATATATATATGTGTGTGTGTGAGAGAAAATAATTTTATTTTCCCATTAAGGTACCGTTTGGCAAATGTTTAAGTGAGGGGTTAAGGAGATTTAATCCTTTCTGAATCCACCAAACAAAAAAAATCTATACGTTACCGTTTGGCAAAGGGTTAAGTGTGGGGTTAAGAAGACTTAACCGCTTCTTAACCCGCCACACACAAAAAATTTATACAATGGTTAAAGTGAGTTAACCCTCCATAATTTGCCAAACATAAACAATATAGAAGAGTTAAACTAACCCCTCTAGAGGGATTAAAATCAGTTAACTCATCAAAATAAGAGGTTTACTAATACTCCTATTTATAAGGATTAATAGTTAATCCTTTTAATTATAAAAAAATAGTCAAAATTCTTATTATTTCCAAACACTAAAAATAATCACAATGGTTAAAATAAAACTTCTATAACCGTGTTAATTATTCTACTTAATATCTCTTCCTTAACCCTGTAACCAACTTTCAAAAAGTGGTTACCCTGCCGGGTGAGCCCGAGCTTGAGCACAATGCGTCACGGGAGAATTTTTCACGTTGGGGGGTTTCAAATCTCAGTGACATCAAACTCCAACAGTAGGGCTATCTTTACACGTGTAATGGTTTCTAATGGTCGGTAGTTGAAGATCTATATCGTTGGATTAGCGTTCCCGTTGGCACGTGGGAAGGCAATTAGTGGCTTAATCGCCAATGTTTTTCGCATAATGATAATATTATGTTGATTCAGAGACTTTGTTTATGTGAATGTTGAATATTACTTAACTAGTTGATTAACGGAAGCAAACCATTCTCTCCTTGGCTTTTAAAATGTCCGAAGCACCTTACTCGCTATTAAATTATGTCTCTCTTCTTAATCCAAGAGTGAATTACAAAGCAAGTTGCTGTTTTATGGGCTTTTAAAATGTCCTAAGCACCTTACTCGCTAATTAATCTTGCATGCTTCACAGTGATAATGGAGGATTACTACTAAATAATAGCCAATGGTTTTTACATGTAATGACAACCTCATATTAATTTTGGTGACTATCTATTACTCGGGTGCCTGGGTTAATGATGCTAATTAATATAGTATAGTCTGTGTGATAGCATTCTTTGATTACTTGATTACTTGATTCATGGAAGCAAACAATTTTATCTTTGGATTGTACAATGTCCTGAACTTGTCATGAAGTTACGCTTCCTTCTTAATCCAAGACTCAAGCAAAAAGCAAGTTGCTATTTTCAGCCACAAATCACCACTAGTTCTGTCTCTAATATTGATTTACATTGTTAATGGAGAATCACTACTAATGAAGCCACTTGTTAACTCAACTGAATGTATGTATTTAAAAGTTGACAAGGGTTAAAATATTACAACAACCTCATATGGTGTATCTTTTTGGGGAAAAAAAACAATATCAATATATTACCTCTTTCTATTCTTTCTTATATACTCCAATAGTCTTTATCACAAAAAGGGAATCATTTTAGAGTAGTTAAAAATATCAAGGTATCAGAATGCTCCCTAAGTTGTTTTGCTTTATCAAAATACATTAGATCATTTAAGATGATGGATTACATATATACTTAAAAGAGACTTTTAGTTTTATACCAATGGTATGATTTGTTGGATCTAAGATGCAAACCTGGGGGTGAATAGGGTTGCTACCATTTTTCACTAAAAACATCGATTTGCAGCAGAATAGATAAAATAAAAGCAAAAAACGACCAACCAAGGGCACACAAGATTTTGTTGTGGTTCGGATAACAATCATATATCTACTTTTCCTTCTCACGAATGGACTTTCTCATTATGCCAAGAGTTCTCCTGAATCACAACTCTAATCACTAGGCTTACAAAGATCGTATCCTAAAATCTATCAGAAACCAGTCGTCTAATTTAACTTTCCCCAATGAGTAAATTCACCTAGCCTTATCTAGTCCCAATCGTCAATTAACAGCGGCTTGAGTATGCTGTAAAAATAAGGTTGGAACAACAGTTCAAACACATAAAATAAAAAAAGATCTTACAATCTTTTTGATTGAGAAAGCCTCCTTCAATGGATCAAAGTGAAGATTAATGAAGAATGGTGTAGATGATGAAATCAAAGGCAACTCTCTTCGTCGAGACTGATCTAAAAATGTTGCGTGCGATGAAAAAGAGTTTGTTGATACTCTGAGATCTAAACCTTCAATCTAATATCTTCTCTAATCAAAACCCTAGAACGCTCTCCCCTATCTATCTCTTTCAATCATATAAAGCCTTTAATCAACTAGGAAAGAGATATTCTAAACCTGGTAGAAGTTGGAGATAAAAAGGAATGACGAACGACAATGATTAAATCCTCAAATCAGCCAACTTTACCATTGATCATTGTTCACGACCATCGATGGGTCCCTGAGTACCATTGATGGATTCCTATAATCCATTGATGAGCTAAAATATCGTCTCTGGAATTTTACAATTGATTCTTGTAGACCAACAATGACTTCGTGAAATCGTTGGGTCCCTGATGACCATCGACGTACAAAGGTTGAAATCAACATCTGTGCTGATTTTCGTGTCGTTTCGCCTCGCACACGTTTTATACATGTATTCACATGTACTATATCATCTCAAATAAATACTAATATCAAATAATAGCTATTGTACGAACTACGTCCTAAAATGATCCTATTGAATGTTAATTGTGATCATCCTAACGCCCTTTAAGTTTTTTTGCTCCATCAAAATACATTAGATCATGTAAAACGATGGATTACATATATACTTATTGAGACTTTTAGTTTTATACCAATGATCTGGTCCGATTGAAAGTTAATTGTAATATCCCTAACTTTTATTTCACTACTATATATTTGAAAATTCTTGTCCTCCGATAATATATAATTTGTTAATACATCACACTATTTCTGATTTATAATCTAAGTTAATAACTAATTATCATTAATTAATAATTATTAATTAATATTAATAGAACGTGTTCTTATCTAACTACCAAGTATTTATTTATAAGATTTACATTACATAAATACTTATCAATAACTATTATATCAGCACATGCAAATGCACATGTAAATTATATTTAACTACTAAATATTTATTTATAAGGTTTACATTACATAAATACCTATCAATAACTAGTATATCCGCAGGTGCAAAAGCACATGTAAATTATATTGAACTTCTATCTATATAGTTCATGTTTATTGTCTCATGTGTATCTATAACATGTCTTGTCTTGGGAGAAAACATGTGCATAATACATGTAACTAAAGCAATAAGAATTTACTAAAAAATATAAATTTATCTTTTATGCATCTAAAATATTTTTTTTTTGGGGAGGGGCACGGGCCAACAACAATAGGATGTTGACAAATACAATATCTAAATAAAGAAATGATAGAGGCACACTCCAAGGCACACCATCAACCACACTCCCCCTCCTCTCTACAGTGCAGGGGGCCCCACATGTGATTTTTTTAAAAATCATATGTGGGGCCCTCTGTACTGTAGAGAGGAGGAAGAGTGTGGTTGGTGGTGTGACTTAGAGTGTACCTATAGTGCTCTCATCTACATAATACGATCTTTGTCTACCCTCACAAAGATTTTTTAATAGTGTGTAGTATAGATGAATGACAAATACAATTTATACACTGAGGTGGGCATCCTCAAACATCCAACCGAATAAATCTACTTCTCAAAATCATCTCATTTTCATAGAATCATCCCCATTTGAGCGTTCATTATCCTAGCTGAAAAGTTTGATCTTAATTCTTTGATGAAATATCGCCCTCTTTAAACCCTGGAGGTGGATCCGAGGATTTTTTTTTCCCTCGCGCCATCTCATCTCCCAGGTAAAACCCCTTTTTAATCATCTAATATCAAGATTGAATCTTTATCACATAAATTGGTCCGAATTTGATTCCATGCAATTGGGTTTCGTTCAAATTCTTGAAAAAGTGTGCGTTTTCTGGGGAAAATACTGAATTTTTTACTGAAGAAAGAGTAAACTGAAGAAGCAAAGCAACCAGGGTGAAATTTTTAGCCTGAAACGTATAAGTTTTGCAATTTTTAGGCACAAGATTGAATCTTTAGATTATATTTGATTCAAACCCGTGTCTCCTTTCTCAAGAGTATAAGTCGAACGTGAAACTGAGTGAAGAGCTGACAAAAGGAAAGAGACAGAAATCTAAGCAGAAAGTACAAAATGGATCATCAAGCAACAAATAATTTGTCATCCAAACACAATCCCACCTTTAGTCATTTCATGTTTTTGGATTTCTTGAGCATTTGCTCTGCAGTTCTTCAAGTTCTTCGCCTTTCCAGCCTAAGAATTATTCTCTTTGTATAGAATATTTCTGCTGACTGAACAAAAAGATAACAATAGTTCACTTAATTTTTATTACCCACTAGGTATTTATTTGGACACATATTTGAGAGAGGATTTTGCACGACATTATCCACTTAATTATTGAGATAGTGTGCATTATATTCAGGGAATCTTGCTATACATTGGAAATACCACGATAACAGGATTCACTAGAGCCGCAAGTTTATATTCAAACCTGACATTTTTTTTGAATGTTTAAACTTGCCGCCGACTGATGTAAAGAAACTATACATTGCCAACCATCTTTATATCTTTTTGTTCTATTCAAGATAACTTTTTTTTTTTGCATCAAAACCACACTTGTGATATGTTAAAGTCATGAATTAGGTCGACAAAATAGCCAAGCGAACAGTAGACAAAGAACCAGCTACAAAGAGAATGAAATACAGAACTTATTTGATTCCCAATTGCAAAGATTGTAACATGTATTACTAAGAAAGAAAGAATGTTAGTCTTAGAAATATTTGGTGAAAACTTATTGCATATGGATATTGGTTGTGACCTTTTAAACAATTTAGGTATCGAGCCTTCCGATAGTAGTCCATTTTTTTTCGAACTAGCGAGAGTATGTTTGATATTTGTGTGTCGATGTTTATAACTATTTATTACTAGTTCGTATGTCACATTGAACAATTAATCTAGAGTTTTAGGAAAAATTTAAGCAGTGTAAATAAGATTTTACAACTGGTTAAGAGTAAGCACAATCTAACATTCAGAGCTTATTTGTTTTAGTTTTTGATAAAATTCTAATTATTTTTAGGACAATTCATTGTAGACGGGTACGTGATTTTTTTTTCACTTGTAAACTAGTGCAAACAAGCACATATTATGCTGGTTTTAGTTATGTTTCAGACTTTCTTTTTCCGGATTTAGAACTCCTCTCAGAAATCAACCTAACTAGTCCCAATAGAAGCAAACATCCTCAATTTGATAACATGTTAATACGTGAGTTCATATCTCAATCAACCTACGATTTTTGGCTGTTGAAAGGGTTGCATTGGATTATCAGAGGGGTTAACATCTGCCTTAGGTTCTGTGGCAATAGGAGGACCGAGAGTTGGCTTAATAACATTTGCAAATAGTTTATGTGAATGTTTAATTTTGTTCTCAGTTGACTACTATTGGCTGAAAATTTGCCTTGTATCCCAAAATTTTAATGTCAGTTACATGTATCCCTTTTCTCCGTTAAGCCTGTTAACAGCTGTTTTCTTCATCCTGGTAATCTACTGAATGAAAAAAGCCTTTCTTGGTTACGGCATGTAGGTGGTCTAACTAATTAAGAGATGGTACAGGTCAAAGGTTTCTAGTTCACAAACTATTTTCCATTATTTCTAAAATGATGATACACTTATATACTCCAATAGTCTGACAATTTCAAACCAACATCAAGGAAAAAAAATATAGCTATTATCTTCTCTTGCTTGTTTGCCTATTCTTATTTCAGTGTACTCCATTATATGGTTTTTTGAATTATAGCTTAACTGAAGTTTTCGGCCTTATTCTTTGATTTTCTGGGTGCATCTTCCGGCTGCAGTTGGTATTTTAAAGTAAAACCAGCCAGGCCTGCAGTGTATCATTCAATAAACACGAGAAAATAAGTGAAATAAATGAGATTCAAGTTTTTCTGTGAAAATGGAGATAAAGATACAATGAGATCGATCGGAGGTACAGGATGATATCATTTGATTACTGACATACTACTTGAATCGCAAAGCTCGATCAATGAAGGATTTGAATAATGTATGTCATTTTTTGATTGTCTGTCTTGTTTTTATTTATTTATTTGGTACATGTAATTCCATTAGCACGCATTTGTGAACTTTTTCTGTAGCAACCTGTGTGTGCCTGTAAGCTTTCATCATTTATTCAAGGGTTAATTGGGGATTGACCCCTGTACTATTACCCAATTGCAGATAGACCCCATGCAGTTTTATTGTTGCGGAAGACACCCCGTTCTATTGCACGATTGTGATGGAACCCCCTAAGTGAATTTTGTTTTTGGTTCTTTTATCCTCAGGAGGTCTATTAGTCAGAAAACAATTTCTGAGAGTAGAAGGTCGAAAAAATTCATGTTGGAAGCGGGATTTCTGCCACAATAGAACTACAGAGGGTCTATCCACAATTAACCCTTTTAATGTATTACCCATCACTGCTCAGGGACGTACCCTGATCATTCTCACTCAACATATACATGATTATTCTGTATTTGCTATCATCACTGCATTCTATTGCATTGATTACCTATGTGATGACTTTTGTGTGCTCGTGATTTTATGTTGCGTTGCATTATGTAATGAAATTGATGGCAAAAATTGATGTTCAGTAAACTTGGACAGTGTCCCAAGAATCTCTAGCAGGTTAACCTGATAAAACATATTTGTGACGTGTGTGGGCTTGTTGAAATGATGGGCTGTGGGCTTCATTGTCATAACTAATGGGCTTTTGGATTTGGCCAGTTTCGGATGTGTTTCAAATAATCAATACAGCAAGCGGATAATCCTAGAGACCCAACCCGACGCGTTCCGTGCTCCTGCTCTCTTCTGTTCCAAGCTCTACGGCTATCATCTCTCTCCTCCTCCTCCTCCGCCGCCGCCGCCGCCGCCCGTTCAGGTAACCTAAACTCTCTCTATAGAGATCTCTTAAGCCCTAGAAAATGTTGGATATACACAATAGCTAGGGTTTCAAGTTTTTGTATCATTCATTTACTATCTCGTTTTTTGTGTGCAATTTGGGGGAACGATTTCTCATTATCCGATCAGATACTGAGATTTAAACTCATGATTCTTTAAAAGAGAGAATTTTGAATCAGTAGAAGACATAAAGACTCAGCATTCACCCAAAAGATTTCTTCTTTTTGGATAAATTTTGGTAATTGCAGAATTTTTGACTGTAACAATGTCTGTAACTGAGAACTTCTTGCGTTTTCCTTTTTTTTAAAGACTTTACTGACTAATTTTTAAGCTTTAGAAAAGATAAAGACCAACCTTCTCTAAAAGATTCAATTTTTTTAGATAGAAAGTACATATACCAGGAAGTTGTGACTGTAGTGGCGTGCATAACTGAGGATTTCTTCACATTTTTCTATTTTTTAACCTCAAAAAGCTAATATCATTCTCTTTGAGGTGGTGGTATTGGAATCCAACCTAGCTTTTAAAATTTTCTACCAATGCATGAATACTTAATTTCTTCTTGAATCGTATTTGCAGTGTAGAAAACATTGTTTAATTGTATAGTCTGCTGCCTAAAGAATCGATATAAAGGCAGCAGACTGGATAATATTAGGGTCCTTTGTACAACAATTAACTCCTGAAATTAGGTTTTCCTTGAGACACTTTGTGATTATGCCTATTAGGCGAAGTGGTATGGGCTGAGGACCAAAAGATCTGATGTGATTTTGAATACAAAAAATACTTTAAAAAACATTAACATCCACAGGTTTAATAATTATATTATCCTGTATCCAGCTCTTTGCAGGCTTGATCACAATAAATCTATAAGTTATGACTTATGATATTTTAGCAGCTGATGACGCCATCTTAGTATTATAACAAAACCTTAGGACCTCCTTGTCTTTACATAATGGGCTTTTATAGGAAATCATCATAAGTTTTTCAGTTTTCGTAGAACCACTATGATAATATACATCGTTACCAAAGTGCCACAAAGTCATTATTTCCATCCATATTCTGTTAGATAAGAATGTAAAATGACATAGAAGCCCACTGTGATTAACTTTTGGAGGGGATGAGTGCGGGATGTTTGGAGGAATTAAAAATTTTCAGGGAGTTGACTAATTTTTGGAGGGAAGCAAGGTGTTTTGTTTAATAATAAAATATCATAAAAGATAGCTGGGTCCCCTTGTGAGGGTGTTTTAGGGATTTAACAAATTATTTAACGGAATATGGATGAACATTATGTGTTGGTGGATCAATGGTGCATATTATCATGGTTGCTTTATGGAAACTGAAAATTTCATGGTGGTTCCCAAAAGACCCCTATATTTTATGGTCTCATATAAAAAGCCTTACATAATTTCATATGGTTATTGGGATACTATAATGTACTGTATTGAAATGTTACAAGAAGCCTTATATGTGCATGAGAAAGGTATTACTTCGTATATAATGCCAAAATTCTATTTCTGTTCTAGCTGATAAGACGTAATTTATTTATCAAATAAGAATGTCTAAGACAACTATCATGGTCTCTAAAGATTAAGCCAAACAGTACAGTAACAGTTCAGCCTGGAAGGCACTTTCAACTTATCCTGGTGTCCAAAAAAATTGAATTATGTTTATATATGTTTTTCTATTCTTTATTTTCCTTTTGCACGTACAAAATTAGACTATTAGAGGACATGATGACCAAACTGTGATACTCGATGTAGTTTTGAATATGGTTTGAAGTTTGTGTGAAACTGATGCTCCTTAACATGGTAGCTTTGTAATGATTTGTCAAAAACAATATGTGGTCATCATGTAGAAAATCATTAAAACAGAGTTTAGAAGGAATCTGATCATAATTATTAGGCATTAAAGAGAAGATGGGAAGCTTGTGCATGGACCTTGTTTCTTTTTTCCTTGATGTGACTGGCCAACGTCTTTTTCTCCGTAAGATTTTGAGAGTCTACCAGGAGTTGAGTTGATGTGATACATTTAACAAGGTGATGATATCTTCTTTTAGTAAAAGTGGATAGGTCTTGATCTTACTTGAATTTGGCTGAGCAAAGACTAATGTAAGTTGTTTACTGTGTTTGATATGCGTTTTGCTTATCCAAATTTGAACTTTCTTGAGATGAAAGAACTACCCAGCTTTACGGGAAGGGCCGAGGAATTGGATAAAAGATGGGGGAGAATTAATTACAATTATTTATGACCTTATTCACTATATACCATTCATTTTCAAAAACGAAAAATTGAATTTTAGAACTCTAGACTCAAACAGGGAGAAACAATGCTTGCTGAAACCAACAAAAAGAAAACCATAGTGAATGAGTTACACTAAATGTGAAGCAGACCTTGCAATTAAGGTGTGTCTGTTATTCATGCTGTGAATTATAAAATATTTTCTATGAACTAACTGAAACTTAGTCCCGCTTTAGTTTTCTATTGGATCCAAATGGAGGCTATGTTATGGCTTTATTAAGTGTCAAACCTTAGTCTGTTATTTGCTAACTTGTGGACTCTTGATTTCCCAGCAATATAGCAGCAACAAAAGGTCAAAATAGATGCCTTCACTGCAAACTTCGTTACCGCCTGAGCTTGCAGACAATGTGATAAGAGTAAAGACATTATTTCAGTCATTGATTCTTTGATCTGGCATTCATAATATATTATTTATGGCATACTTTATAGCTGGTACTTATTCATGTTTTTCTCTATTGTAGTTGTACCGTGAGTGCCTGCGAAGAGCCAAATATATAGGTAAAAAGGTATTCTTTATGCTTTGGCTAATTGCTTGAACTTTCAGGATGTTATTCTTACTCTTACCTCCATAGGAAGCGCATATCTAGGAGTATGCATTTTATATCTAAGGCATTAGCCCAAGATATCTGAATAAAAATGCAAGCAATCATGTTAATTGTTCAATACCATTTATAACTATTAAAGGACACATGATCAAAATGTTCAAAACCATTTAAATATATTTGGTTGTTCAATAGCATCTATGTGGACTATTGTCCATGATTTTGGTTGTTTTTTTACCAAACCACAAATTGGCGTTGGTCGTCCAACATAGAGCATTTTATGCATACTTTGAAATTTGTGAATTTCTATGGATTATAAACCATGATTTTGTTATTTGGCCAAATCAAAAATTATCGTCTCGTATAGAATATTTATCATTCTATGAAATTCTTGAATTTCTGTGGGCTATATAACAAATCATTTTGGCCATATTGCACGAAATCACAAGTTGCGCTTTAGCCTAGAATATTATTTGCATACTCTGGAATTCCTGAATTTTTGAGGACTACAAAACTCATGATTATGGTTGTTATCCACTAGATCACAAATTGCCGCATTGCATAGAATATTCTATACGTACTCCAAAATTTCCAAATTTTCTTGGACCCAAAAATTTTAGTCCCATGATTTTGGTTGTTTTCGACCAAATCACAGGTTGTCGTCTATAGAACATTTTATACGTACTCAAAAATTTCTATATTTCTGTGAACTATGGCCTATGATTTTGACCGTTTCGAGTCTTCGACCAAATCACTCGTCGTCCATAGAAAATTTTATGCCTATTCCAGAATTTTCAAACTTTGACCAACTCACAACTGTGGTCTCACATAGAATATTTTATGCGTACTCCGAAATTTTTGAATCTCTATGGATTGTAACCTATTATTTTTTAGAAGATAGTCTAAAGATCCCTAAGTTCACGCCTTTCTTCTGAGAAGCCCTCAACTTTCTTTTTTAACAACAAAACCTTTAAGTTTTACACCTCTTCTGGAAGCGTCCAACCTTCAGGTCTAGCTTGCTTCTGATGAAGCTTGACATATGATTATCATAAAGACTATACCAGAGAAATAGCAAATTAAGGAAGTTGAGTTCCAAGGATTCCACCACATCACCTCTTCAGCCTTCCCAACTGTTTTTTATGACAAAGCTTGTAAGTTTTACCCCGCTATTCCGAGAAGCCCCAAACCTTCTTGTTCATCTAGGGGTTTTGTTGTAAAAAAAGGATAATTTTTAGCTACGTTGTCGAAAATTGAAAGTTCGGAGCTTCTTGGAAGAAAGAAGGAAGTCTTAGGGGCTTCAATGTCAAAAAAAGGTTGAGGGCTTCTTAGATAAAGGGATAAAACTTAGGGGTTATTAAATTATCATTGTTGTTTTGGTCGTTTTGACCAAAATCGCAAGTTGACGTCCCACATAAAATATTTTATATGTACTCCTAAAATCTTGAATATTTATATTTTTGCTAATTTCAACTAAATCACAAACGGCCTCTGACATAGAATATATTATGCATACTCAAAAGTTCTTGAATATACGTGGACTATAACTCATGAATGTGAATGTTTTTGAAAAAATTAGAAATTGCAAATCCACATGGAACACTTCATGCGTAATCTATTGTTTTCAAGTTTATGTGAACTAACCCATATTTTTTTTTTCATTTCGATCAAATCATAAGTTGTCGTCTTGTGTAACATATTTTTTGCATACTCAAGAATTCTCGAATTTTTGTGGACTATAACCCATGATTTTGACCTTTTTTGTGAAAATCACAAAATTTCGTCCCACGTAGAATATTTTATGCATACTCGAAAATTCCCAAAATTTTGTGGGCTATAACCCATAATTTCACTTTTTCAACTGAATCACAAATTCTCTTCCTGCATAAAATATTTTATACGTACTCTAAAGTTTCGCAATCTCTATGCGCTATAACATATGGTTTTGGTCATTTGCCATCCTGAATAGAATATATTATGTGTACTAAAAAAATATTTCATTTCCGTGGACTATAACTCATAATTGTTGTCCTTTTCCATCAAATTATCAAATTACATATAAAAGTCCATTAGAAAATATTTTATGCATATTCCGGAGTTTCACAATTTCAGACTATAACGGTATAACCCATGATCTTGACCGGTTTCGATACCAAATTACATGTTGTCATCCATAGAATATTTTATGCGTACTAAAAATTCCCGAATTTTTAGGACTATAATCCCTTATCTTGGCCATTTTCGACCGAATTACAAGTTGTCCTCTTGCATAGAATTATTTTTGTACTTTGAAATTCTTGAATTTCTGTGGACTATAACCTATGATGTTGGTCGTATTTGAATTATCATCCCGTAAAGAATATTTTATCCTTACTCGCAGATTACCTAATTTCTATGGGTTATATAATACATGATTTAGCTGATTTCTACCAAATCACAAGTATTTTATGCCTAATTCAAAATTTCTGAATTTGTATGAACTGTTACCCATGATTTGGCCTTTTTCGACTAATCACAAATTGTCGCCTTGCATAGAATATTTTATGCATTCCAAAATTCTTGAAATTCGTTGGACTGTAACTAATGAATTTTGCCATCTTTGACGAAATCAAAAGTTGCCTTTCCGCATAAAATATTTTTTGAATACTTCAAAATTCTCAAATTGGACATAAATTATGATTGTGGACGTTATCCACCAAATCACAAATTGCCCTCCAGCATAAAATATTTTTTGTGCTTTCCTAAATTTTCAAAATTTTGTAAACTATATCCATTAAGTTTGGTCGTTTTCAACTAAATCACAAGTTGTCAAGTTGTCGTCCATAGAATATGTTATGCTTATCTGAATTTCTATGGGCTATATAACCTATGATTTTGGCCGTTTTCGACCTAGTCATAAGTTTTTATCCAAAAATACTTTATGGACTTCCAAAATTTTAAATCTGTGGACTATAACCTATGATTTTTGCTATTTTCGAGCAAATCACAAATTGTTGTCCATAGAGAATAGTTCTCTGATTTTTTTGAGTCTTTGTAAACTATAATCCATGATTTTGGTCGTTTTTGTCAAAGTTACTAGTTGATGTCGTTTCCAACCAAATTACAAGTGGTCGTCCCGCATATAATATTTTTTGCATGCTTACAAATTCCCAAATTTCTATGGACTAACCTAATGATTTTTGCTGCTTTCAACAGAATCACAAATTAGGTTCCTGCATAGAATATTTTATGTGTGCTCTCATATTCTTGAGTTTTTATGATTGTGACCTATGGTTTTTGTTGTTTTCGGTAAAATTACAAATGAACATCCTGCATAGAATTTGTTATGCACATTCTAATGTTCCGAAACTTCTGTGGACTATAACAATGATGATTGTTGTTTTCGGTTAAATCACTAGTTGTCATCCGACATAAAATGTTTTACATGTACTCTTTAATTTCCAATTTTTAGACTATAACCCATGATCAATGCCGTTTTCGAGTAAATCACAAGTTACCATCCCACATAAATTATTTTATGCATTCTCAAAAAAGTCCAGAATTTCTTTGAACTATAGAGAATATTTAATACATGCTTCAAAGTTCCTGAAGTTTGTGGGATGTAACCAATGATTGTGTCCTTTTTTTTACCAAATCACAAGTTATTATCTAGCATAAAATATACTATGAGAATTTTCGAATTTATGTTGACTATAACTTATAATTTTGGTTTTTTAACTAAATCAGAAGTTGTTTGCATAGAATATTTCTTGCGTACTTAGAAATTTTTGAATTTATGTAGACTGTAACTGATGATTTTGGCTGTTTTGACCCTAGTCGGAAATGACGCCCATTTAATATATATTATGTGTATGTGAAAATTTTGGAAGTTCTGTGGACTATCACTTAAGATTATGTCGTTTTCAAGCAAATGAAAAATTGCCGTCACACATAGAATTTTTATGCATACTCTAACATTTCCAGTTTTTTATAGGGTGTCACTCGTGATTGTTGCTGTTTTTGACCAAATCACAAGTCGTTGTCTCGCATAGGATATTTTTTGTAGTTAAAAATTTTCAAACTATAACTCATGGTTTTTGACATTTTTGACAAGATAACAAGATCTCGTTCATGTAGAATATTTTATATGTACCACAAAATATCTAAATTTTTGTTGACTATGACTCATGATTTTTGTTCGTTTCGACCAAATCACAACTTGTAATGCCACATAGAATATTTATGTCTACTCTAAAATTCTCGAATTTTTCTGGACTATGATAACCAACTATTGTGGCAATTTTCATTCAAATCAAAAGTTATCACCCTATATTGATGCTTACTCCAAAAAATTCCGAATTTCTGTGGACTATGACCTATGATTTTGGTCATTTTCAACCTGATCACAAGTTTTCATCCTACATAATTTTTTATTTGCATTCTCCTTAATTCCCAATTTTTTTGGGGCTATAACCTATGATTTAGCTGTTTTCAATGAAATCACAAGGTCCTCGATACAAAGTAGTATATTCCTGTTGTCTATACCCAACGATTTTGGTTGTTTCTAACCAAAAAGCACAAATGCCATCTCACATGTAACTTACTATTTGTACTCCAATTTTTCGTAGTTTATATGGATATAACAATGATTGTACTCCAATATTTTATGAATACTCTAAATTTTCTAATTTTATTGGACCTGTTACCTATGATTGTTCTCGTTTTTGATCTAATCACAAGTTGCATTCCACATAGCATATATTGTGCATACTCAAAAATGCTCAAATTTCTTTGAACTAATTGTTTTGGACGTTTCGACCAAATCAGAAGTTTTTACCCCTCAGAGTATTTTATGCGTACGCTAATATTCCCAATTTTTTTTGGAGTATATCCGATGATTGTGCTCGTTATAGACCAAATCACAAGATATTTTCATGCTTGGAATATTTTATGCTTATCCTAAAAATTTTCGTATTTTTGCGGACTAT